TCATCAATTCCCGTTTCGCTATAAGCACGCTTTACCGAACTGGAGAAAGCTCTCATGACGGTTCACTTTCTTGACCTTTAAACAGTCGCATGACAAAAGTTATATAACCACTCGCGTTAGTCATACTGACCCATTACTTTACCCTTAAGCATGTCAATGTTTTGCTTAGAATCATCTCAGCAGTACTTAAGGATCATTACAGCTGTGAAGTAACTGAGCAGTAAACCGTCAAATGTTCTCAGTGCGAAGTATATGTGTTAATCTTTCTGAAAGTTTGAATTTTTTCTCAATTCTCTTTAACTCCATATCAGTACTGTAAAATCTGAAACGATCTTGGTTCGAAGCATTTCTGACTAGGTATACTCAACCTGTATCAAGAGTGTTGTCTGAAAGAAGTCAAATCTAGCCAACGAGCAGATTTTGATGAATATCAGAACTCGGCGAAGAAAAGGTCCAAAATGAAGCAATCTCGTACAGGAATCACGACCAGTGGCCAGGACAGAACCAGATATGGATACCAAAATTTGAATATTTTCACCAAAAACTTGAGCCATGGACGACTCCTCTAAGGTTAGATTTCAGGCCGAACTGCATCGCCAATTTACTCCTAGGGGGATGATTGTGCAAGCCGTGACTGCGTAATACATGATGACCCGTGATGTCAGATGCATATTGCATGATTTTCTTCGCTACAGCCATCTCACGTAAAACTGCAGTGTGCTAGTCTACACAGGTAACCATTTTAAAATAATTTTTTCGCGCAACTATCAATCATGAGTTTGGAAAACGATCTTCAAGTGATAAAACCATAAATGCCAAGAGTTACCTACCGAGCCTTTCCCAATCAGAGTTTACATCCAGCACACCAGCCAACGCCTTCTGACAATGGAATGGTAATTCGAAAATGTACATCTACTTCATAGCCTTAATAATGCAACTCACATATGCAGAGCCGCAACCTTCCACGAACAGCTGCTTTATATAATAAATAGCGTTGCAAATCCACAGTAAGAAAGAAAAGCAATCAAGTATTATCATGGCGACTTCTACAAGTGACTCGTCAACCAAATGATATAAAATTCTATATATAAGTTTCCGAATAATTCAGCAACCTGCCACTCATGGTACTGACGCCTTCGAAAATTATACCGGCTCGGTCGTCGCTCGCGCTACCAAGGGCCGCGCAGCCTGCTGGGGTGACTGAGGCAGACTCCGAAAAGTCGGCGATCAGAACCTGCTCATTGCCCTCTGCAAGCCGGGGGCGTGGCAGCACAACGACGGCT